TCTTGGCACACAGAAAATGCTCCCATGCCCTATGAGTAAGTGTAAGTGTGAGTGAAGTTACAGCAAAACCCTTTCTTCTATTGTTCTAACCAAGAATCCACTCTCTGACCCTCTATCAAACTCTGTGGCACCTCATCATAATCTGGGTCCTTAAGGAATCTAGAAAAATCATCATTCTCCTAAAAAATAGTCGATAACCCATGAAACTCGTTAATCCTCTCGACATCAAATCTCACCTCCTACCCTCTAATCCTAATTCTTCCATTCTATGCTCGAAGGCATTAGCATAAAACTCCATCACAAGAGGCTCAACAACTGCTCCTGGTTGGGCTGTAAAGTCCTCCCAACTCAAATCACTAATTATGTCAGTAATGCCCTCATAAGGATTCTTAAAATCAAACCCTCATTCATCCACAAATCCTCTATCATTAACGACATTATTCTTATACCTATCCTTAACAGATGAACTCATAAATCTAGGATAACGGGTGTCCCGTAAGGAACCTCTAGGACCTTTACTAGAACTAGACACATCTCTACTCCTATTTTGTGATGCCATAACAATCAATCTGGGTACCGTCAATCCAAAAATCACACAATAACACAACTCCACCAACAATCTCTCCCAATGCCCAATTACACGACAATCACATAACACCTAAAACACCCAATCATAACACAATACACAATCAACTCAAATTGCAATCAAGATCTCACTCAATCAACACCTAAAGAAATCAATCAACTCAACTCAACTCAACAATCCAGAGCCAAATATGCAATTAAAATCACAAATAAGCAATCTAGGATGCTTACCCAATCAGAATCAATGATCAAAACCTTGGATTGAGATTGATTTGCCCCAAAATAAAAAATGCCCAAATCGAACCAGCCCAAAATTAATCCTGAATCTGCAAAATCAAGGTCAAACAAGTGTTGAGGATGTGTTAAAAGTGATTTCCAGGAAGAAAACTAGAAGATTAGTTGAAAAATTTGAGAGAGTGTGGTGAAGAACTGCATTGTGGCGCAAATGAAATCTGACAAACTCTTTTATATTCTATGAATTACGCTGTAGTGCAAATTTTTCTGCTGCGGCGTGATTCAGGTTTTCACGCTAAAGATGAAGAACAACGTAAAAGAGCCGCAGCCTAAAACTTTTAAGCCGCGGCTTGTTTATGTCATTGAATGTCAAATTGCAGCATTTTCGTATTGCGGCCTGATTGCATGTTTGTGCTGTCGTCAAGTCTGATGATGCAATTACGTTGTGGCCTAATTAATTTGCACCACAGCGTGAAGTGGTTTTTTCTAGAAAACTTAAACCAAGTGTTAGATTTCCTGAAAATTCAAACACACAAAATAACACAATCAAAACAGTAAACTGAAAAAAAAAAATATATATATTTGAACCAAAAGCAATAAAATAAAAATGAAATAAACAAAGGAAAAGAAACATTCGAGCTACCTCCTGATAACCACTTGTTCATCGTCCTAAGCTAGATGGAATGCTCGGTTGTTATTCAAGGTGGCATCCTCAACTTAATAGTAGAGGCCTTTAATCTCACTCTATCAACTCCCACCAAAAATGCCTTCACTTTTGCATCATCAACATTTCCATCCTCCACCAACAAAGCTAACCTCAACTTGTCTTCACTCTAATCCTGCACAAGATTAGAAACAATGGTAGGGTTCAAGGAGTCAACATTTAAGCATTCTTTAGACAAAAAAGGTATGGAATGGAAAACCGAACACTAAATGGTTTGATCAAGCATTGTCATTCACAATTTCCCTTATTGAACATTTATAATTGTCCTCGTCGTGGCCATGAACGAACGTCCAAGCAAAATGGGTGGTTCCTTATCTCGAGTTAATGCCTCCATGTCCATCACTACAAAATCCACAAGAACAATCAGTTTATCAAATTGAACTAAAACATCTTCAACAATACCTTTGGGATATTTCATTAATCTATCGGCTAACTGCAAGGCCATTTGTTGTAGGTTTTAGTCCTTTCAATCTCAACTACTGATATATGGAATACGGCATGAGATTGATGTTGGCGCCCAAATCCAACATAGCTTGCTTCTTCTTTTTACTACCAATTCTAATGTCGATGATCCAAGGTTATGTCATTTTCTACAGTAGTGGAGAGTGGTTTGAAAATTAGGCCTATGGAGTTTGTCTTTAAAGAGTTTTACTCTTATTTCATTTTTTTATTGGGATCAATGTTAGTTTATGGATGTTGCATACGTAATTATTCCTAGTGTTAGAATTGATGGATTGTGGACTGCTGAAAGGTAGAGAGTTGATAATGAAGTGAGATTGACATTAGAATGTTCTTAGAAGTAAAGTAACGTTTGGTTATTTTTGCTACCTAATGTGTATGAAATTTTTTAGACTCTTTAATGTATTGATCCAGAATTGTTAGTTTATTAGTTACGAGTCTTGGTAGAACTTGTAGGATGTTTATGGGTAGCATTGCTGTAAACTCTCACGAGACTATAACTCGTCCACTAGGGGGACCTAGGGGTTTAAAGGCTTATTGCATACGCTAAATGCAATCATGTCAACCTATGGAAGTGGTTTTGTTTAAAGTTGTTATAATAGGGATAGGTTAGTGTCGATCGCTTTGATTGCTAGAGACTAGCAAAACGCTGGTTTGGGGGTTATGATGAGTGGTGAAATTGTATTTATATGCGGCAGAGATTTTGTGTCGTGGCGCAAAAAAGGAAGATTGGGTAGAAAGATCATGCTGCGATGTGGAGAAGTTGGCACCATGGCACAACATAAATCCAAGTCCACGGAAGAATTTGGCGCTGCGGCGTGGATCACGAAAAAAAAAAAATCTTACCTTTTCCAATTCCAACTTGAACTTGAACTTGAACTCTCTTAAAAACACCCCTAGCAAAGGAAAAGTATAAATAAGACTTTATAATTTATTTGATTATTCTTTTTTACCAAAATTGAGAGTTACTTTTTATCAAGAGAGAGAAAGAGATTCTTCCTAGGGTTTGGATTATTCATGCTTTTGGGGGAATTTCAGGTTTGCTTTCTTTAATGTCAATGTGTAACTAAACTCTTATTTAGGGATCCAATGTAGCCTAATTGGAAGGCAACATATATTTATTGTTATCAATTCAATGAAAATCTAGATTCATTCATGTATTTATTCAGCCTTTAATTTTCATTATTGTGTAAAGATACTTTAGTGTGAATTAGTAGGTTGTTTGTGTTGAGATTATTGAATGAATGATTGGTATTTTGTGCATAAGGGCCTTGCGCTCTTGGAAAAATCCTTGATAAATCTCCTATAAAATCCTGCATGTCCAAGAAAAGAACGTACCTCTCTCACACAAGTGGGAGGTGGTAAGGAACGTACAAGATCTATTTTAGCTTTATCAACTTCAATCCCCCTAGATAAGATAATGTGCCCTAAAAATATCCCTTGATTTACCATAAAATTGCATTTTTCCCAATTTAAAACGAGATTAGTTTCTATGTATCTTTTAGGAACTAATGTCAAATTACTCAAACATTTATCAAATAAGTTCCCATAGACACTAAAATCATCCATAAATACCTCTATTATGTTCTCTATGTAATCAGAGGCAATACTTACCATGCACCTTTGAAAGGTGGCAGGTGCATTGCAAAGGCCAAATGGCATGCGTCGATAAGCAAAAGTTCCAAAGGGGCATGTAAACGTCATCTTCTCTTGATCTTCCAGTGCAATCACAATTTGATTATAACCTGAAAATCCATCAAGAAAACAATAGTGAGAATGGCCAGCTAAACGTTCAAGTATTTGATCGATAAATGGAAGAGGAAAATGATCTTTGCGCGTTCTGGCATTAAGCTTGCGATAGTCTCTGCACACTCGCCATCCCGTTTGAATGCGAGTGGGAACTAAGTCGTTATCTTCATTCTTTACCACAATTATTCCGGATTTCTTAGGAACTACTTGGACCGGACTAACCCATTTACTATCAGAAATTGGGTAGATCAGACCAACATCTAACAACTTGATTATTTCCTTCTTCACTACTTCCATCATTGGTGTATTCAACCGTCTTTGTGCTTCTCTTGTAGGCTTCGATCCTTCCTCTAATAATATGCAGTACATGCACATGGAAGGACTTATTCCTTTAATGTTAGCAATTGTAACACCCACATCAAGGTACGTAATTTTATTTATGCCCTAGTACTCTTAGTTGGATTTCTTTGAAGTTACCTTAGACAAATGTGAAGAAAACCCCTTAAAACTTCATTAAGGGTAAAATGGTCTTTTCACTCATAAGTAGATGAAAAAGTGGGGAGTGAAAGGAAGCAAAATAATGTGAAGAAGATAATAGAAATGAGGGTATAAAGAGAATATTACAGCAATCGTCCAACCAATTGCCATTTTGTACTCTCTCAACACACGAACAAGTTTCTCTTCTTGCACCTTCGAAAGGTTGGCTGCTACAATCACGAGCTATGTGTCTCCTTCTCCCAAGTATAAATACTTGAGATGACTTGGTAAAGGCTTAAGCTCCAAGGTAAGGGCCTGCACAATGGAAGGTAAAAGTTTCTCATTAGATATAGGAAGAGAACTATAGGAGATTTCATATATTCCTTGGATTTTTCTTTGGAAGCTCATCCAACATTGCTATAGTTTCATTTAGCTCTTCTCCCAACTCTACGTCTTAGTTAAAACTTTGAGGTTCCTCATTTGACAACCCATTCCATATTGCCACTTCCAATGGATCTTTACCCTTAAGCTCGAACATTTGCTGCGTTAAAGAGTCTTGTACATCAATAGAAAAGCAATCATTGTCATCATTAGGATACCTTATTGCGTCAAAGATGTTAAATTGAATGACTTCCCCATCAAACTTCATTGTCAACGTCCCATTATGTACATCTATTTTCGTACGGGCTGTTTTCATGAATGGTCTCCGCAAAAGCAATGGCGTGGTTTTCACAGTTGTTTAATCTTTCATGTCAAGCACGTAGAAATCCACTCAAAAATCAAGCTCGTTTACTTGCACCAAAACATCTCCCAAAACTCCCTTTGGATAGGCACTAGATCGATCGGTGAGTTGAATAACTACGCCGGTCTCTTTAAGAGTACCAAGGTTTAAATCAAGATAAATTGAGTAAGGCATGACATTAATAGAAGCACCTAAGTCTAACATTGCTTTTTCAAACCTTGGGTTGCCTATGATGCATAGTATGGTGAAACTACCTAGATCTTTGCACTTTGTTAGAAGCTTCCTTTGCAAAACCGTTGAGACGTTTTCTCCCACGCTCACCATATCATTTCCCTTAAGTTTTCTCTTGTTGGTGCACAACTCTTTAAGAAATTTCGCATAACGTGGCACTTGCTTTATTGCATCCAACAAAGGAATGTTGACATGTACTTTTCTGAAAGTGACCAAAATTTCTTGCTCATGTTCCTCCTTTTTTGATGTGGCAAACCTGCTAGGAAAAAGCAAAGGAGGCTTGTAAGTGTTAATAGGAACTTTAGATTGTACCTTAGGTGAATGTTTTGCATTGGTAGAATCGGTTGGCGAATTTTCTACACTTTTGGACTGCTTTGTTCCACCTTGAATCAACTCCTCTCCAACTTTTTTCTCATCATTTAGCTTCTTGTGAGTCTCCCAAGTTGTCTTCCACTTCTCAAGATAATGGCACTAGCATTCTCCCTAGGGTTAACCAAAGGTTGGGAAGGAAGCTTTTCGGACCCATGCGCCTCTAATCTTCCAACGGTAGTAGCCAATTGACTAACTTGGCTTTCCAAATTCTTGATTGACATTTTTGTATCTTGGATTGCCACTTTCGTTTCTTGTTGGAACTTGAGATTCTCTTGTTGAAATTGAAGAGAGCTAGTTGCTAATGAGTTTACCAAGTCCTCCAAAGACTTACTTTGAGGGTGGGAAACATTTTGGGTCTTGCTTGGTACGATTGTGGAGCTCGTGGGCAAGGGAAACCAGGTGGATTATTAGTGATAGAAGCTTGTTGATTTCCTCTATAGCTAAGATTAGGGTGATCCCTCCATCCCAGATTATCGGTATTGGACAATGGATCATACCTTTGCCTTTTTTGTCCTTGGTATCCTCCCATGGCATTTGCTTGTTTCGTATTTGTCTCTTGAAGGGTAGGACACATATCGGTAGGATGTCCCACATTGGAGCAAATTCCACATGTCTTCACTTGTCCAATTGCAATTTGTTGCACAAGTGCAGTCAAATTACTCAATTGTTGCTCAAGATTATTGGATATCCCCACTTCATTTACCTTCCTTGGTGGTGGATTAGATCGAGTACCAAATTGTTGATAGTTTGCCGCCATGGTTGCAATTAAATTCCTTGCTTCAGTAAGAGTTTTATCTTGCTGCATCTATCATGCTCCTCTCCATTGGCATCAATCCCTCATAAATATATTGGAGAAGTAATTGCTTACTTATTTGATGATGCGGACAGCTAGCACACAATTTCTTAAACCTTTCCCAATATTCATATAAGTTTTCCCCATTGTATTGCCGAATCCCACAAATTTCTTTCCTAATGAGTGTGGCTCGAGATGCTAGAAAATACTTCTCCAGGAAAAGCCTCATCATCTCATTCCAAGTAGTTATGGTCCCGAATGGTACGTAATGAAGCCATTCCTTAGTGCTATCCACTAAAGAAAATGGGAACGCCCTTAACTTCACTTGTTCCTCCATTGTTCCACTTGGTTTCATACTCAGGCACACCACATGGAACTCCTTAAGGTGCTTGTTTGGATCCTCTCCCACTAAACCTCTGAAAATTAGTAGAAGATGAATCATCCCAGATTTAAGCTCAAAAGCTCCCCCTGTCGTGTCATTGTATCAAATGCATAAAGGTTGTTAGTCAAGGGTTGGTACAGCCATCTCTTTGAGAGTTAGATTAGCCATCTCCTCTTGATCAAAAAAATCTGAAGACTCTGAAAAATCTAAAGAATCACTTGTGAGTGGAAGATCGATATGGATTGCTTGATCGAGAGTTGATTTATGCAAAGGTTGTTGCGAATGAGTAATAGGTGGAATTAGATCAGAATGCGGATTTGATCTCAAATTGTATCGCGAGCTCATTCACCAAAGACACCTACCACTCAAAAACAAAGGAGAAATAAAAATTGAAAAATAAACAAAAAGTAAATAAATAATTAAGTTAATAAAATTCCCCGGTGACACGGCGCCAAAAATTGATGCGTGCATATGCAACACCTAATTTCATCTCACTAAATTCTAATGCAAAGTCGTGTAGTAGCAAAGAGCAAGTAAGGGTCTTTCCCACAGAAGATTTGTGAACTTAATTAATTATCTACTTCTAACGGGGTTTGTCATGAATTATAAAAACTCAACAAAAACCAACAAACTAAAGTAAACAATGTAAATCAAGCAACTAATAACGAAAGAGAAATCAATGAGAGAAATGAGATTGAAGGTTTATTCGCCACCACTAGACATGGATTACATATAATAAAAGCACTTTTTTAACTTTCTACCCTCTTGATCACATTAGCTCAGAAAATACCAAACGTTGATAAGTCCCATCTCTCCTTACTAAGTCGTTGGACTACACATAGTCATAACCCAATTCCCTATTTATTAAATAACCTAGGATGTGATCTTTAGATTCAAAGTAATAAACGTATTAAGTTGCGAGAGACCTACTGAATCAAGACTAAACTCATATGGTCGGTTTAGTTATCTTGAGTGATTACCCCCCATGTATGTAGGCATACACTTTACCACTGGTTATTTAGGTTAATAAAGCGATTCCATACTAAACAACCTAAATTGGCATTAATAGATTAATCCTAACGAATTAATTGGCCACTTAAAAAATTAGAACAATCTAGTTAAACCTATTTTCAGAGAAATAATCACATAACCAAGAAGGATCAAAAGATAAAAAGATGCAGATTTTATTAATCACAAGACATGTCTAGGGTTTTGAAATCACCCTCAATCACAAAAGAATTAGTTCTTCATGAATAAATATGAGAGCGTTATTGTATTATTCATAACAAATAATAATAACTAAGAAGAAGAAAAACTTAGTGAAACTTGGTTGGATTAATGGAGTTGATGATGATCTCCTCCAATTCTTCCTCTCCAAGCCCCTTTTTCTTCAGTTCTTGAATATCATTGTTCTCCCTTTTTTCTTTATCTCTAAAGAATCCCCTAAAATAATGCTAAAAGACTTCTATTTATATCCCACAAGGGTTAGGGTTTTGTTTTCCTTAATTCTATTTAGTTTAGGACTCTTAAACCCTATTTTCCTAGTAAAAAATGGAAGAAAGATTTCTAGCTGTCGTGACTGTGCCCCAGCACTGTGCTACGGCATGGTTGATTCTAGACTAAGTGTGCTACAGCATGGTTGATTCTGGTCTTTTTGTGTTGTAGCACAGTGCTGCAGCATGGTCCAATTCCTCTTCTAACCTTGCATCATTCTTCAGCACTCTAGAGATAATGACTTTTGAGCATGATAACGATGGAATCTGGAAATGTGGAAAACATATGAAATTTAGCCCTCTAAACTAGCTTTCCAACGGTTTAAAAATCATCTCAATACAGTAACTACAGCTCAATTTATAGTTGAAACACAAAGGCATGCTCAAATTGGAGCGTAATCTAGAATCTCCTCTTTACTTCAAAGCTCCATAACTTCTTCAATTCAACTCTGATTCTCGATTCGTTTGTTTCCAGTAGTCAAAAATTATCTTGCCAACATCATCACTCATCTGAATATTATTTTTAAGCTTTATTCCCTAAAAACTGAACAAAAATACCCATGATCCCGAGAAGTGCATTTATGAAACAATTATGTTAATTCATGCAAATTAATCCTAATTTCCCACAAATGATACATATAAACTACTAAGTATAAGTGTATTTTCAAGCACTTATCAGCTCTCTTTAATGTCAATGTGTAACTAAACTCTTATTTAGGGATCCAATGTAGCCTAATTGGAAGGCTTTATGTTTAAACTTATATTTATTGTTATCAATTCAATGGAAATCTAGATTTGTTCATGTATTTATTCTGCCTTTAATTTTCATTATTGTGTGACGACACTTAGTGTGAATTAGTAGGTTGTTTGTGTTGAGATTATTGAATGAATGATTAGTATTTTGTGCATATGCCATGACAGAATATTAGTTGGTTCATGATTTCTTGAATAATTAGTGTCTATGCATACACCCTGATAGATGCGCCTTTGTTCTTGTTTTTGAGTATTCCTGTGTTTAATGGGTTTTTAATTCATAGGTTAGACTATATGCCCTAGCTAGTCTTGTGTTAAAAATACTAGGTTAATCCCAAACGTCTTATGGTAATACCTTGATTTAGTGAATGCAAACCCTATAGACTGAATTGATAAAAAATAGATAGATGTTTGACATAGAGCTGGATAATTATGGTGAAATTGGAGCCCTCGGTTTTGGTCAATTAGGTTTTAGATAATTTTAATAGTTGTTTAATTTTAGTTTTATTCAGTTGTTGCTTCTAAAGTGATTTTTTGTAATTCTTTATTATTAATTCTAGTTATTAGTTTTAATTGAAGCATAGTTATTAGGATTAGTAAATTGCTTACAAATTGTTGTGCGATCGACCCTCGCTCTTGCACACTAGACTACGAGAGGGATTCATTCACTTAAGAGCAATTAGAATTTGTTCATCACCTATGTATCGACAATCTCGCCATACTAAGGCTGAGCATGACTCTTATACAGCTTCAGCCAAGCTCCACACTTTTACTATTGATGATCTTCCTCTGCACAAATGGAGAAATCGGACGTATGAATTTCAGGCCTGGTTACAAGCTGAGATGCTTAAACCTAATGCCTAAGTCTATAATGTTCTTAAGCAGATTACAGCTAGATTTGGAGGAATTCTTTGTGATTGGTGGATTAGTCTCCAAGAGTACAAACAAACTTTGTTCATCCAATTGCCAGATATTAATCAAGCTCTGTATCTCCTCTATGATGAGTTTTGTCGATTACCTCACCTTTATAAGGACCAGGTCAGAGAAGAATATTTTAAAATGCGATGTGGTTCTCTCAAAAAGAAAGATCTTGACACACATTATAAAGAAATGGTAAAATGATATCATATACTTAGGGGTATGGATGATCCCAGAATCCCTAAGTCATGAAGCAACCAAGCTCATGCAGTCTCAAAGTAAACAACTTGGTTCTACTTCTCTTAGAGAAATCTATCAGTTTGTCATTCTTGCTCTGGAAAAGCTTTATTCTCAAAAATAATTTTTTGATGATTATCTAAAGTGTTCTAAGCAGCTGATAAAGGTTTGTCAAAGACCAAACTTGCAGATCAGGTGCAAATTAGATCGCTCATGTTTTTGTCCTACCAAGAAGAAGTTTCATTCTAGACGCATCAAGTATTCACAACCTAATGCTCTTGCCAGATGCAAATTTTGATAGTTCTTCAGTTTGCAGCCACTGATACTGAATTCTTTTATTCAGAGGATTGTCACTATTTCTACTATATCCAACAAATAGCACAATCCCTTCCATCATTAGCCTTCTCATATCACGTACCTATAGCAAAAGTTCATAACTTCCCTACTAAATATTCCAATTCCATTTCTGTCATAGCATTTTTTAATATTGGTGCTACTCGCACTATTATCAACCCTATTGGAAACCTCATCAAGAAGTATTCTACACTGCTAATAGTGACACCTTCTATATTCATCTGATCAACAAACCCATTAAAATCCAAATTTTTTCCAAGATGTTTTACTTTTCACAAAGTTCTTGGTTCTGATTTACCTGGTAAAGATATGTTCTAGGTTTTGATGTTTATTCTAACTCAATAAACTCGAATCCTCCCTAATGGTATTTGGTACAAGATGTTTTTCCAATCCTGGACCACTCAGCCTAATTTATTCCAGATTTAAGGCAATCCAATTAAGCAGATCAAAGCCCAGCTTATTTCCCACTCTTGTGCAGATTCTCATGCATATTTTCTCACTAAATGTTCCCATCCATTATGGAAGATTTCTAATTTCTTTATCCATCTTCTATTCATCAAGAGCGAAGATATCCATCCCATTAAAGCTAGTTATTCTGACATGTCACCAAAACATCTCAGTCTAGCCCAACAAGAATGTACTTAACTTTTATCTCAAGGATTGATTGAACCCACAGATTCCATTGGGCATGTGAAACTTTTTATGTCAACAAATGTGCTAAACAAGCCAGAGGAAAACTCAGACTTGTTATCAATTATTAGCCTTTGAATTTATTTCTCCGTGATAACAAATTTCCTCTGCCTTCTAGACAAATTCTATTTGCAAAT